CGCTGACCCGGTATCGACCTCCATTAGGCAGGGTTTACCTTCTAAATGAATGGAGAGTTTAATTTTATTGGGTGTTAAGAAGGTATGGTTAGCTTGATAGCATGTAAAACAGTTTTCTACTTGCCTGGATGGCCCCGAGGGGGCGTAAGATGGTGGCTTTTGTGGAGCCACATGCGCTGCCTGGCACACCCTAGCGATGTGTCCTCTTCTGCTGCAGTTGTTGCAGGTGGCACTTTTGAACCTGCACGTTGCTCTGGCATGGGGACCCCCACAGGAGAGGCACAGCGGGGTGTGCCTAGGTACGTTGCCTTCTCTCGGTCTAGTTCCTACCTGTGGCTGCTTGAATGGTTTGAGACGGTGCACTTCAGATTGCTCTATGGGCTCTTCTTCGATCACTGCCTCCTCAGAATGTACAGTGACTGGATTACCTTTGGGGGTGCTTCCCTGTATTTCAGCCGCTGATTGTATTGCCAATTCTGCAGCCAGGGCTTCCTCGATGGCTTGTGCTAGATTGAGGTCCTTCCTTGCCAGCAACCGCCTCTGTAGTCTTGCATCCTTGACCCCGCAGACAAGTTGGTCCAGGAGCATGTCATCAAGGTAGCCTTTAAATTCACAGTGCAGGGCTGCGGTTCTGAGGGCTGCCATATATTGGTTTATGGTTTCTCCCTCCGCTTGCTTCCTCATGCGAAAGGCGAAGCGTCTCGCGATCTGTGACGGTTTTGGCGAATAATGATTGGAGAGGGTCTCCAGTAGCTCAGACCATGGGACATTCTTGAGTTCTCTTGGGGCGAACAGTGCTGTTGCTGTGTCGAATACGGTGGCCCCGCAGTAGCTCAGGAAGAAAGACTTCTTTTTGTTGTCTGTAGCATCAGCCAGACCCACAGCATCGATATAATGGTTGAAACGGTTTTTATAAGAGTCCCATTTATCTTCGTCAGGTTTGAATGGCTGGAACGCCGGATTCGCATTCATGACTGGTTCAGCTTTCGGCAGGTGAAATAAGTCTCACTGGGAATACAGGCCCTGGAAGGGTAGCAGCTACGGTTTGTAGTGCTGTTAATGAGTGTTCAGCTTCTGAATTCTCTCTGGGTTGTACAGGTAGCAGCTGCGCTCGCAGTGCAATTCGGTCTGGTGATTCAGCTCGTGGAATCTCTCTGGGTTTTCTCGCTCTCTGCAGCCCTTGGCAGCTGGAACGGACGCTATAACTGACGCCCGTTTAAATTTCGCGCCCTTACAAGGGCAAGGCGGCGATGCTGCAGCTGCGCGCTGACAGCGATTTAATTCTCGCGCCTGGGTTTAGCGGTCGTGAGCGTCGCGCTGGAGCTTCGCTACACGCAATTCTGGCAAGTTTGTTGTTGGGCGGCTGAGGCTCTCAGTGCCCACTCTCTTGTAGCTAATTTGTGATCTTGAGCGGCTACACGCTCCGCTTCGATTTCCTCTCAAATGGCTGACCGAGCTCTCAACGTCGCGGCTACGGTTCAGCGCTTCAGATTCGTGATATTCAGCTCTTGTATAGCTGCTGGCTGGCCAGATCCCATCCTCATCGCCAATGTTAAGTTCGGAAAGAAGGGAGGCCACACCAGAGCTTCAGTCATAACACACACTTTATTCATGGGAATAAAGGGGTCTGTCGCGTCTGCAGCTAACAGCAGACCTACCAGCGAACAGCAGCTGGCTCAACCTAGCAGCCGGCTTTTATAGCCGACTGTCGAAGGGAGCCAGCCAATGGGGACTAAGAACGCCCCCGTAAGAATTGCGGACCTGATGGGGAACTGGTGTCAGCCCCAAGGACATAACAGTCCTCTTTTCTGATGAGAGCAACTTTTGCATCTCATTTGGAAACCAAAGACCCAGAGTCTGGAGGAAGAATGGAGAGGCAAACACTGCAAGATGCTTGAAGTCCAGTGTGAAGTTTCCACAGTCTGTGTTGATTTGGGGAGCCATGTCATCTGCTGGTGTTGGTCCACTGTGCTTCATTAAGTCCAGGGTCAACGCAGCCGACTACCAGGAGATTTTGGAGCACTTCATGCTTCCTTCCCCAGACAAGCTTTATGGGGATGCTGACTTCATTTTCCAGCAGGACTTGGCACCTGCCCACACTGCCAAAAGCACCAAACCCTGGTTCAATGACCGTGAGATTACTGTGCTTGATTGGCCAGCAAACTCGCCTGACCTGAACCCCATAGAGAATCTATGGGGCATTGCCAAGAGAAAGATGAGAGACATGAGACCAAACAATGCAGAAGAGCCGAAGGCCGCTATTGAAGCATCCTGGTCTTCCATAACACCTCAGCAGTGCCACAGGCTGATAGCTTCCATGCCACGCTGCATTGAGGTAGTAATTGCTGCAAAAGGGGCCCAAACCAAGTACTGAGTACATATGCATGCTTATACTTTTCAGAGGTCCGATATTGTTCTATGTACAATCCTTGTTTTACTGATTGCATGTAATATTCTAATTTTCTGAGATTGTGGATTTGGGGTTTTCATGAGCTGTAAGCCATAATCATCACAATTATGACA